GAGGATTATACCTAATCTAGTACCGGAAGACATCAAGTGGGTCGGCGACGCGTCCACATCTTACGGAGTAGGGGTCCTGATAGGCACGAACTGGGCAAAGTTCAGACTCTTACCAGACTGGGACGTCGTACGAGAGGATAACGTGAAGCGTAATATCGCGTGGATTGAGACTGTCGCAGTGAGGTTAGGCCTTCTCGTGGTACTGAAGATGAAACAAACGAAAGGAAAATGTTTCATTGTCTGGACAGACAATACAACTACTGAGGCAGCCATCAGAAACACCCGATCCAAAGACCGGGCAGTCAACAACGAATGGAAAAGAATTCAGAAGCTCCTAACGACTCACCAGTGTTCGATTAAACAAGAACGGGTTACCTCAGACGACAACGACGCAGACCGTCTTTCAAGAGGTTTAGAAACCAACCTCCACTGGGCCGAAGAAGTACTGATTCACATGCCGGAAGACCTCGCACCTTTCTTGAGACAAGAACTTACACCAGTCCCGAGACAAGAATGAGCGCCGACACCGGACCCCCGAAGAAAAACCTTGACCTGAAAAAGATAACGAATTTCATTAGCAACGAGAATGGAGTAGTGACAATGGAAACGGATCCCGTACAGCGATTGATGGTGCTAGGAGGAAGCTGGACTAGAGATACACTAATCCAATACAACTCCGCGATAACAAAATACTTGACCTTTGGGAAGAAGGACAACAAGACACGGCAGCAACTCCTACCAGCCAGCGCACAACAAATCCTCCTATTTATACAATGGGCCGCGCCGAAAGTCGAAGGTGAAGCGAGAACAAACCAAGAGATTCGACCTTCGACAATCGAAGCATATCTATCTGGCCTACGAGCCTGGCACCTATTCCACCACTTGAGCTTCCCGGACATCGACCAGAGAGAAATCAATTGGGCGCTCAAGGCAGCAAAACTTCTCGATTCTCGAGCCAAAGAAAACCCACAGAAACGCCCTGTCCAGATAATACACCTCGCCAGCCTGTTGAGGAACCTACCCAGAAACGATGGAGCAGCCGAGTTAGCAGTGACAATGGCACTCGTAGCATTTTGGGGGATGGCGCGCTTAGGCGAACTCACCACACTTCGAGAGGAGAAAGAAGTTCGGATCAAAGATGTGAAGATCTCGGCCGATGAACAAGTAATGTCGATCGCTCTCCGAGAAGCCAAGACAGCGAGGCCAGGCAAGAAACAAGTACTGACGTTGAGACGACACAAGTCAATCCTCGACCCCGTGGCAGCTGTAGAACGTCTATTAAAAAGGCATGTAGAGAACGGTTCATACGCGGAAGATAGACTGTTTACCTTCGACCTCGAAGAAGGGAAAGGAGGAACTAGATTAGTTAAAGAAGGAGTCATGGCAATCCTAAAGAAGTTATGGAAGAAAGACGGCTACGATAAACTCACCGGTCACTCATTTAGAGTTGGCGGAGCCTCTTTCCTGTGGAACGAAGGCCTCCCACTAAACCAGATAATAGAGAGGGGTCGATGGAAATCAAAGTCGTACGAAAGATACTTGAGGAAGTTTAGCGATGACGAGATGAGAATCAACAGAGAATGGTTGAAGAAGATGGAAATAAAGAGTCCAGAGTGAAGAAAGACAATACCAGACTTACAAATGAATGCGCTACAGATCAAACGTAGAGGCGCAAAAGATTGAATGCCTTGAGAAATACAGTGAGAATACAAGGGGGGATCTGCAGACGTACAAGCCACACAGAAACCTTGTGGCACCTGCGAGAGTAGGTCCTAGTGAGCTCGGGGCTCCCCGATGCCCCAAGGTTCGGTAGGCTAGGACTAAGCTCTCCAGTTCCCTTTTCAGGCACTTTACGCCGTCTGGAGCTCGGAACAGACCGAGAGTCCGTCCCGCAGGACCTCAGAAGTAGGCCCTGAGGCGACTCCGGTACACTCCCGAGCTCGAGACACCCCCCCCACACTATTCTCAACTTAGGATACCCTAGGTAGGATAGCATAAGGCTGAGAACGGATATATGTAGAGTACACTTGTATACTAAACATATATGGAAATACTAAGAGCTTGTAAACCTAACTCTTACCCATAGAGTAAAGATAGATGGTAGCTTCCCACCAAAGGCACGACGTGGTAAGGCATTTCTATCGTCACCAAAAGGGTAAGAGACGAGTAGGTGCACATGTAACATGACATACACGACAGAGGCGGGTAGGTCAAAGAGTCAGAGAGTGAAACAAAAATTTTCATTACACTCTCTAGAAATCCTTTCCTGCACCTTTAGTCGTAGATCTTGTTTATCCAAGCTCTTCAAACTAGTTAAACTTGATTTAACAATTTTTCGCGCCCACCCACCTTCCATAGGCTAGGACTAAGCTCTCCGGTTCCCTTTTCAGGCACTTTACGCCGTCTGGAGCTCGGAACAGACCGAGAGTCCGTCCCGCAGGACCTCAGAAGTAGGCCCTGAGGCGACTCCGGTACACTCCCGAGCTCGAGACACCCCCCCCACACTATTCTCAACTTAGGATACCCTAGGTAGGATAGCATAAGGCTGAGAACGGATATATGTAGAGTACACTTGTATACTAAACATATATGGAAATACTAAGAGCTTGTAAACCTAACTCTTACCCATAGAGTAAAGATAGAAGCAAGGCAAAACTCCTGTTGGTCAATATATTTCAAAATTTAATGCAATCGCTTTTCAACTTCAAATCTCAGAAATTGTGTTAAAGGACATGTTTAGTCGTGGTTTACGAAATGATCTTAGGGAGCATGCTTTACATTTACCTGATTGGAAGAAGTGTACTACGTTGGAAGCTCGGCAAGAATTGGCTTCTTTGGCATCTGAACAACTTCATGATATCGGTATTCATCGTGCAACTTACGGATCTTCGCAGCCTTTGCAAAAGGTGGTATCTTCTCCTGTGGTGGTCAACATTCCTCGTGATCCAAATGCTATGGATATTGATGTCCATGCGTTGAATTCGAACTCAAAGAAAACCTTTCCTCCCTTACCTGCTGGGATCTCGTGGTCATTTTTTCGCAATTTCTGTCATTCAAACGTCATGTGTCATAGGTGTTTGAAGCCTTATGATCACACTCATAAACGTGACGGCAAGAGCATTGCTTGCCCAAACGCCCCACCTTCCTTGACTAGGGACATCGAGTTGTTTATCGCGCGTCTTCAAGCTCAACCTCAACCTGTGGCATCAGTTTCGGCTAGAAGTCCGGCAGTTAATCCGTTTCCTCACATCAATCATCACCTTGCTCCTACTTCTGCAGCAATTATGAACTTTCCGGACGTCAATCCTGCTTTTCATCAAGTTCCGGCTCCTGCGTCGTTTTATAACCCGCCACCACACATGGTTTCACTTCCTCCTCATTCATACTTGCCTCCGTTTCAGTATGGACGACAGCAATTTCGCCCTTCGCCTACTTCACCTTTGCCTCAGCAATTGGCACCACCAGTCGCCGCCAGTTTGCCAGCTCCTGATCCGGTTCAGCAAGTTTCAGCTTTGTTTTCTGAATATCAGAACATAAGTCAGCCTACTTACTATGATGATGGCTTGGAAGAAGTTTTTGACTCTCGACCAATGTTTGACCCCACAGATGATGGGATTGTTGATGTTGTTCCTCCTAAAGCTCCTGAACAATCTCCCCTTTCGGCTATCACTTTCCACAATTCGTCTGAGGTCGATTCGCGTTTGATTTTGTCGATTACTTTGAACAGCAATGGAAAGCAGTTTAAAGCACGCGCTTTAGTCGATTCGGGGGCGCCGGGTAGTTTTTTGGACAAAAATTTTGTAAAGACTCATAATTTTCCCCTTCAACTTCGCTCTTTTCCTTTGAATTGTATCACTTTTGATGGATCTTCAGGAAAGGATGGGCTTGTAACTCATTTTTGGCGGGGGGGTTTGTCTATTTCGGATGCATCTTGTAATGTTTTCGATTCGGTTATTTCACTTGATGTTACGATTTTAGGGGGTTATGATGTGATTTTAGGGATGGATTGGCTCCGTTTGCACCACGGATGGGTTGGTGGTAGTGGTCCGTCTTTAAGGTTGGATTCACCGGTGTTATCAAAGACTTCTCCTTTTACTGGTGAATTATCAACTCCATCTATTTTACCTCTTTCATCCTCTTTTACTTCAATTCTCGCCTCTTCAATACCTTTGGATTCGCCATCTGCTTCAATTCCCGCTGAATTCCTCAGATTTGCTGATGTCTTTAAACCGCAGGGCCCTTCATCTTTACCGCCGCATCGACCTTCGTTCGACATGTGTATAAGGCTTAAGGAAGGATCAGTGCCCACTTATGGAGGATCCTATTTGCTTTCTAAGGTGGAGGAGATAGAGTTGAAGGATTGGATTAATGGGCAGTTGGAAAAGGGGAACATTCGTCATTCTTCTTCTTCTGCTGCTTCTCCTATTTTCTTTGTTAAAGTTCCTGGTAAAAAGAATCGGCCGTGTGTAGATTATAGATCTCTAAATTCTATGACAATTTGTGACAGTTTTCCTATTCCTCTCTTAGGTGATTTATTGACTAGGGTTTCGGGCTGCAAATATTTTACTAAGTTAGATTTAAAGTCAGCATTCAATTTCATTAGAATTAAGGAGGGTGATGAATGGAAAACCGCTTTTCGGACTCCATGGGGTCTTTTTGAGTGCCTAGTCATGCCATTTGGTCTTGCAAATGGGCCGGCTTGCTTTCAGCGCTTTATCCAATCTGTTTTATCAGAACATCTAGGTATTTCTTGCTTTGTGTATATTGATGACATTCTAATTTTTTCTAAAACTCGTGAGGAGCATACTGTTCATATTCAGGATATCTTGGCCAAGTTGCAACTCCATAAGTTAAATGTCTCTTCTGGATAAATGTCAATTCTATCAATCAGAGGTTACGTTCTTGGGATTTGTGATATCTCAGGAGGGTTTACGCATGGATCCAAAGAAATTAAGTACCATTGCTGATTGGCCTTATCCAGTGAATGCTAAGCAACTTTACCGTTTTTTGGGTTTTACAAATTTCTATAGACGTTTTATCCATAAATTTTCTTCTATTTCAGCTCCTCTAACGGCTTTAACACAGAAAAATGTGGACGTCGTGGCAGGGTTAACCAATTCTACGTGTTTTTCTGCTTTTAAGTCTCTTTTAAAATCTTTCACTACGGCTCCTCTTCTCTCACATTTTGACTTTGACAAGCCTAGATCCTTACAAGTCGACTGTTCTGGTTTCGCAATGGCGGCCATCCTGTCACAACCTGATAAGGATGGAAATTTGCTACCTGTTTCATCTTACTCTTGAAAGCTTACTCCTGCGGAGCGGAACTGGCAAGTCCACGATCAAGAATTAGGGGTCATCGTCGAGTCCTTTGAGGAATGGCGCGCTTGGTTAACAGGCACGCCTACAGCAGTAACGGTCTTTTCAGATCATGCCAATTTGCGGTATTTTATGACTTCTCAGAAATTGACACCGAGACAAGCTCGATGGGCTTCATATCTGAGCTCTTTGAATTTTCAAATATTACATACTCCAGGAAAAATTAATCCTGCAGATCCTCTTTCTCGACGTCCTGATTATGAAACTTTTTCTTCTGATGAGAACAGAATGACGCTCTTAAAACCGTATATGGTAAAAAATGGCGTTTCTGTGTGTTCTATTGATACTTCCTTTATCATTCCTTCAAAAAATACTAGAGATCTTTTACTCGATTCATATAGGACTTATGAAGGTCTTGATACAGCCACCCCTCCTCCTTTATTTACTTTCAGGGGAGGGTTGTGGTGGTTCCGTGACAGGCTTTTTGTGCCTTTACCTCTTCGTCAAACTATTCTTTCTTCGTTTCATGATTCACCTTCTATGGGTCATCCTGGAATTGCTCATATGATTAGCTCGATAACTCGAACTTTTGGGTGGAAGTCATTGCGCAAGGATGTCATCGATTTCGTTCGAAGTTGTGATTCGTGTCAGCGTGCTAAGCGTAATACACAAGCAGCTCAAGGACATTTGATACCTTCAAAGACTCCGGATAGGCCTTGGAGCACTATCGGAATTGATTTCATCGTTAAATTACCCATTTCTTCAGGTTGCGATTCAATTTTAGTCATAACTGATCATTTTTCTAAGGGCGCTCATTTCATTCCGTGTAGGGAATCAATGTCGGCTCCTCAATTAGCGGCTCTTTTTGTCTCTCAGTTTTTTCGATATCACGGTTATCCTGATAAAATAGTTTCAGACCGTGGCTCGACCTTTGTTTCTTCCTTTTGGACAGCAGTTCAAAGGCAGTTACGTATTCAGCCAGCGCCTTCGACGGCATTTCATCCGCAAACGAATGGACAGACCGAGAGGACTAACCAGACGTTGGAAGCTTATCTACGACATTTCATAAGCTATCAACAGGATGATTGGGTGGATATACTACCAATGGCTGAGTTTTGTTTTAACAATACTACTTCTTCCTCAACTAAAATGACACCATTCTTTGCATGGCAGGGGTTTCATCCGCGTGCAAATATTTTTACGGAATTTTCGCGAGTACCTCAAGCGGATAAATTTATTGAAAACCTCGAGGCAGTTCAATGAAATCTTTTACTTTCTTTAAAACACGCCAAGCAATATCAAGCACCAATACAACAAACATAAACGCCCGACTGTTTCATATTCACCGGGGGATTTAGTCTGGTTATCAAGACAGAACATAACGACAGCACGCCCTTCTTCAAAACTAGATTACAAGAAGATCGGTCCATTTCCAGTAGTTGAAATGATAGGTCCGAACGCGGTTAGACTAAACCTGGGGAGTGTTTATTCTAAATTACATCCTGTTTTCAATATTTCTCTCATCTCTCCATATGTTCCTCTTTCTGTAGGTGGAAGGAAGGAAATAACACAGCAACCTTCAAATTCAAACATTGCTCCGACACATGATTGGAGACACGTTTCAGGCATTTTAGATTATAGGAAGAAAGGAAAATCACCTCCAGAATATCTTTTAAGATGGCTAGGAAGACCAGTTTCGGATGACACATGGGTGGCTATTCAGGATATTTCCTCAGATTTAGACTTATTTTTATTAAATTTTCACGCAAAGTACCCGCAATTTCCAGTTCCGGATTTGTTATTAGATCCAAGATTTTCAATGGGGTATCAAGCTGCTTTAGGAAATTTATAAAAGAGGAGGAAGAGGGTAAACGGTGATTATTATTGTAATGATTTGAAATGTATAAGAAATTGAAATGTAGTTGCGAAGAAAGTTGTAGAGGAATAGAGTTGTATAAACAAATAGTTGTTAAAGATATTTGAATAATGTTGGTATGGAGATAACTATCTACGAAAATAATTAGAAAGTTGTAGTGTATATAAGAACATTGTAATAGCTTAGTAGTTGTTTCCTCATCGAATTATTAACGTAGTTTACATCACTCAAAACTAAATCCAAGTGCCTAATTATTAAGTAACACTTAATAAGACCCTGGACATGAGCCCTTACACAGACGCCCTCCACCGCGTCCAAATAGTCCCACACCTGGCCACAGGTGTCAGCTTACGTTTCCAATACGTTTCCAAAAATTTTGGAAACGTAAGAAATCTTCGAGTTGTTGCTAGTGGGAGTAAGAGCATCTCCAACGTTGCTGAATCCGAAAACATGTACAGGTGAGTTTCTTCCTCGGCTGGACAGCTGTATTTTTTATTCAGTGACAGCGCCCTCCAGCGCACTACTCAACTTCATGCTCAATATCTCTTGAGGTCCAACCCATGTCACCCAACAAGGTCGAAATCGCTGCGCTATGCACAGCTATATGACGTGTCCCAGATAGTGGTGTGACGTACCACTATTTAGGAGGTTCGCTACGCACCACTAGCAAGAAGCACTCGCTATGACTTTCTTGTAGTGATGCTGATCAGTCACTAAAAATCGCTGCGATATAGGGTCGCTAGCACTATCATAGCAGCCATGGCACATGTTTTAATATGAACACTGAAATTTATTAAAAGGCATATAGTAAAGTAGGTATAAAGTATAAACAAGAACTATTAAAGTGAGACTACGAGATTATTGAAGCAAAGGAAACAAATACGAAGCAAGGTGAGTTG